ACGAGGGTTTGGAAGACCAACCACTGGAGGCGGACCTGGAGGATCATGTTAGCTTCTGGCGTAAGATGGGGGAGCATAAAGGCTCGGAATCACACGGTCTGCATACATCGGAAAAGAAAGTCTGGTCCTATTGGTCGGCCTGCTCGTGTCACATTAGGACATGCCTTGGTCTGCTTATGTCACGTGGCCATGTGATTTTTTTGCAGCCATTCGACTGGAACCTTTTCATATTTATTTTTGCCTCTTTTGCTAATGTCATCTTTGCCATGCAAAAAAATCACCTACTACTTGTCATTTTGGGACAGGGTCTAGCCACCATCAACCATGCACTGAATGTCTCAAGACCACATTCACCCTGTCATTTTTGCATTGTCAGCATCATCTATTGTCACATGCCCAAAGTATTAATGTGATCAATACAACAATTGAAATATCACAAAGACAATATATTAGTATCAACTAAATAATACTTGTTCTATCTACTTTTAAGGAATCTATTTGCCATCATCCTCATATACTGTTACAATTTGTTGCCTTGCCTTCTTGCGCTTTTGTTCAGAGCGTTTGCAGTTCAGTTAGTGGTGTCACTGCTGGGCCATTCTTTGGCCAGTGCCTTCCATCTATCCACATAGTTCTCCACCATCAAAAGTGCAAATGCTTCATCGGTGACATTGAAAGCTTTGCTCAACCCAAATTGGCATCTTTCATCACCATAATATTTAGTGACAAAAGAAGCAGGTGAGATCAAGGCTTTTGTCACACAACAGTAGCACAAAACATGAATACTCACCCTCTTTGCGTTCAAGGTCCTCATCACTGCTCGCACTTGAATCATTGTCGTATACCTTTTCCTGTCTCCGAGACTCCCCTTCATTTGTTGGCAAATAAACAAAGCATGTTGTTGTTTCTCCAATGTTCAACAATGACATTCTGATACCAGTAGTACAAAAAAACTCACAGGTTGTTTGGGTGGGGGCTTCGCTAGTGTTGCAGTGTTCGAAGCTGCCTTCTTCTTGGTCTCATTGCCCTTCCCCTTGCTTGGTGCCTTCTTGCTCCTTGTCTTGTTTTCAAATACTCAAAGATTTTTCTATTATGTGTGCGCTGTGAAATCTTTGCCCTGACAAGGCTGGATTCAGTGGAAATGTACTTGGCGCTAGTAGTAACTACATGTAGCATTGGGATGGAGGAGGGTGGAGGAAGGCGTGATTCTACGTTTTTTCTGTAGAAATGTACCATAGGGTGGGCTTGAATCCATCCTGGCGCGAATTTTTGCCCTGCTATTACAAACAGCCTTACTTAACATATTGCTTACTTAACATAATGACTCAAAACTATTATGGATTTGTCCAATCTACGTTATTTCTACTGAGTGGGATCCTGGTAGATTTGCAGGGAGCTACACTAACAAACTTGTAACTCTTAATGGGATCCTGATTGAGAGACATGTCTCAACCAACGAATCCCAATTTTGCGGCTTAAATGCACAATGTCTGCCATATGTAATGTCACGATTACCATAACCAGGGGTATTCCGCATTTTGGTGTGAATCTGAACTGCAATTGGGGCCTGACCGGCTTGCTCACTCCTTCTGCACGGGGATCTGTGATCCGACACCATCACTGCTCGTGGAATTCATTCTTGGTCGGTGATCGTCGCATTTTGGTCATAGTTCCTTAAATTACAGACAGTTCCCCTAATTGACCATTGTTTTTGTCCTCTGAGTCAAAAATTCTGTGAATTTTTCACAGATGTTCCGAAATCTCTGTGAATGACCAACAGATGTTCCAAAATCTCTGTGAGTTTTTCACAGCTTTTTTAAGGGTCTTCACAGATGTTTTCGAAATGTCAAAATTGTGGCAAATAGTGGGCTGCACTATGTAAAACTAGTCGTAGACTTTTTTCCACGGTCGTCTGAGTCAAAAAGTCTGTAAATTTTCTATCGTCTGAGTCAAAAATTCTGTGAATTTTTCACAGATGTTCCGAAATCTCTGTGAATTTTTCACAGATGTTCCGAAACAAACAATTTGATGCGTCATCGATTTGCACAACAATGACTGCGGAAAGAGATTGCTGTTAGAAAAACGTTATTGCTGTAGAAAAACCAGAGTCACACATTGTAGGCAAAGTCACACAGCGCAGGTACGTAAAAAGGTATGGATCTAGTTTATTCATGATAAATTTTCTTCCTGGACCATAGTTCTTTTGTTTGTACTCTTTCTCCGACCAGCTGATCACCTTTGCTTCCAGTGCCCAAAGAACTTTCACCCAGTGCCATAGGTTGTCGTCTTGGTCCCTTCGTGTGCTTATCCCAGTAGCTGAGGCAAGGGAGTGGATTGCAACTAGCAATCGCTTAAGCCCCTCCTTGCTCCTGTCAGATGGACGGAGCCCCAAGTCTTTGTTTGTACAATTCAAAATGTCTTGCCAGAGAATGCATAGAGTGCTGGGGCGTTGGCCAAAATGAGCCTTGAAAACTCCAATATTATGCTCCTTGAAGACGTCATCAGTAATCGTGGTAGGTGAATCCCCAATCACTTCAAATCCGTAGATCAGCACCTGTTCTGGTGTCACTTTGATTCCAAGCATCATCCTGAAAGATTCTGAAACTCTCTTTGCGTTTTCTCTTCAAAATCTCAAGCAAGCGTGACCAAATTTGAAAAAAAACGGTTAAGTTGGCACCGTCTTCTGAGTTGAATTTTCTATTGCCTGAGTCAAAAATTCTGTGAATTTTCTATCGTCTGAGTCAAAAATTCTGTTAATTTTTCACAGATATTCCAAAATCTCTGTGAATTTTTCACAGATGTTCCGAAACTTCTGTGAAAAATTTACAGGTTTTTTTGGGGTCATTACAGATGTTCCGCAATTGCTGTAAAAATAAAACAAACTTTAAAATTTAATCTGGCGAATGAAGTTGAATACTTAACGGCATTGTGAACATTTATAAAACTCCTTGTCGTAGAAGTTTCTTTCTGGCAGGCAATAAGTGAAAGTCGATTTTTGAAGTTCCGTGCAGAAGAGGGTGAAAATGACCACATCGACTCTCCAAAAAAAAGAGAAAGCTGGCTTCACAGAAAACTACTGGATATCCCAGCAAAGAAAAATTGGCAAAGGCGCCACCTGCAGTGAAAAGGATAATATGAGAATGCAAAATCTCCTGTTTTTGTTGATGTCATGCAATCATCAAATGGCATCATAGTACTGTGAGAATTTGCTCTTTGATGAGCTTGCCTCATTTTGCCAATTATTCTCTATTCAGCTGCATCGCTGTCAAATTCTTCACCAGTGATGTCATCTGCTTGCAGTTTTGTTGTTTGTGATTATGTCCAGGGCTCATCGGAGAAACGTTTTGGTGATCACTTCTGACCGTGTAGAATTCTACGCGCAGGATCGTGGTACATTTGGACGGAGCCTCTAGGCTTCCGGTGCAAACGTATGGCAGATCCTAAATCCGAATCCGGAGAAACTTTTTGATAGGCTTCTGGTCCAAATGTATGGCACATCCTGAAACAGCCGAAATAACAACAGAAACAACACCAACATGACAATCAACTACAGTTTGCGCAACAATGGACTGGCACAACAACCAACTGTTCCCATTGCACCAACTGGCAATATGGAAGCCAAACAACAACAAACGGTGCACAACAAAAAATTTCTACTGCGATGACAATGGTAACAAAAACTATGTGTTGGTCTAAGGATGACTTTGTTGGTCAGAAGTTCATAGGGCGCACATTGCCCCAGATGCTCCTCCTGCCCGGTGGAAGACCACCTCCTTGTCCCACGCTGTTCTGCTCCTACTGCAGCTGCGGAATGGTCGAAACGCCATCTGGCCTTCCAGACCTGGATGCAGACCCAGCAGACCGCCCCAGAGATCGAAGCCTTCCTCTTTGAATACCTGAAGACCGTCCGCCAGCCTTCCCTGGGAGTTCCCAACGTCCGAGCCTGGTCTCACCAGCCTCATCTCTTCCAAGGTGCAATCTCCTCCCAAGCCAAGCTTGGGGCCCAGGGCCTCCTTGAGGGCCTAGTGTCCCCCGAATGGAGACATCTGCAGGCCCTTCACTTCTCCTACGTCGGCTTCAAGAAGTCTGCCAACCTTTGGGCTTCCCGCCTGATCCAACAACTGATCCGGATCGGGCACTACATGTGGAAAGACCGCAACCGGCTTGCACATTCCGAAGACAGTTCCTGGTACACGGCTCGCAAGCGGGAGATTGACATTGGCATCCGCGAACAGTTTGCCATGGGCCTGATTGATATCCCCCCACGCTTGCAGTACCTCTTTTGTGACTCCCGCGAAACTGTCCTCCACAAATCACTCGAAGATTGTCAACATTGGCTGCGCCTCGTCTCCTGTGAGAGAGCGATCAACCGTCGCTCTCTAGCCAGGCAACGCCAGATGATCTCCAACCTGGCGCACCCCTAACATCGACTCGGCCAACTGGCGCACCCCTAACATCGACTCGGCCAACCGGCGCAAGTCCATAAACAGTCAGATGTCTCGGCCATCTCTCTGCCCCCTCTATGTTTCACTCTCCCTCTGTCAACCACAGGACTAGGGAACCGCAGTCTGTTATGTAGATGGTTGCCACATTGTTCTGGAACACTGTGCCATTGGGACGCTCCTCTCCATTCACTTGGATCGCAAGAACAATTGGCTTCCCACCTGCCACACACTCCTGCCCACCACCACCTTCAAAAAACACAGAAAACAAAATAAAAATACGCCGCCTCGAGTGGCAAGATCGTTTCTACATGTGCAAGGGTGCAATGTAATATCCGATAAGAGCAACTTTCCTGTGATTAATGCCTCAAACTGGTTGTACTAGACTCACCTCTGTATGGTAAATGGCCATGACAGCCATAGAAAAAATTATTTCAGAAACGAAACAACACGCATTCTGGCAGAACCAACCAGTCTGCCTCGCGTAGCGCTAGTACTGAATTTACGTAGAAAACTTTCGAATTTATCACCAAGCCAACCATTCAACACCGGCGCACCATGGGCAAATCTATCACCGCGAAGGCATCCTCGGCGAAGACAAAAAAGTCGGGCGTATCTAAGATGAAAACGACCTCTGGGGCTAAAAAGTCCGTCAAGAAACGAGTTGAAATTGACCTAGAGCAGCCTAAAGACAGGGATCCCATCGATTCCAAGCTGGTGTCGGAAACCCAGACTGAAGAGAAGCGTGTTACTGATGACAATGAAGTACAACGCTTGGCTGATGAGATTGAGGCAAAACAAATTGCCGAATGAGAAGCACGCAGGAGTGAGCATTACGATAGTATTGTTCCAAACTTGTTGGAGTGGTGGATGAAGAATTTATATTTGGGAGATGCTGTTGACGAAGCATTGGAACGACATGACCGTATCCATACGGGTACCGCGCTTTTTATGGCGTGGGAAGAACGTTTCCTGGCGCTTGGAACCAACCTTGCCTCCGGTATGACGATCCATTTAACGACAATACAGGGACAGCAACTTGTGAAGATTGTTTCGCCCGCATTTTCACATCGATGAACTCGGATAACAGTCAATTGACTAAGTATGTCATTGCTGTAGTTGACACTGAAACGATGGAAGTGAATCCATCTGAAGAAATTTGGTCTTTACGCATCTTGGCAATGCGGATTTCTTTACAAAATCCGTTTTCCTTTTTCGGTATTGATGAGTTTGAAGATAAACCGGATGACAACCATTTCTTTTCAGGCGAATGGAACAATCCACGTCTACGCTTGGAGCATCCCTTGGTGGGCTTTTGGTTAATTTGCTCCGAATTGTTTGACTATCCACGGATTAATGAGTTTCTGTTGGAGTATTACGACGACCCGCCATCCGCAATTGTTGACGCAATCAAACAAAGGAGAAGTGATGGGCTCTTTGCTAGTACTTTCTTCGTCTTGCGACACAGTGCCCCACGGTTGTGTTCGATCTTGCAACGGCCCAACGCGTTATCACTACGGACAAAAAGTCGCCTCGCTTTTGGGAATTTTCGCTCATGTTCGACCCGACATTAATTGTTCAACGCGCCGAGCCGTTGACGTGGATGTGGCTAGCGGCAGCCAAATTCTTTGCTCATCCTTGGACTGGCCCTGCGATCATTCCTCCCATTGTGGAGGAATTTGAGCGACTAGAACGAGAGTCAAAAATAGCCAAAGCTCAGTCCAAGTCTAAGAAGCGCCCTGCATCGACTCCAGAGAATCCAAAAGGTGCCAAGGCACACGATTCGCGCCCGTCTCCCTCTGTCCAGATGCAAACGGAACTGACGCCACCAAAGGGTCGGTCCAATCCCTACCAACGAACTCCACCTTCGGATGCCACTCCTCCTCGCCAACAAGTGGTCATGTCTGACGCCGTCCACGTCATTGCCGGCACCCCAACAGGAACACAGGAAGCCAGTGTTCCAGCTGACGACGTCGTGGTAGCCAACACCCACCGTGGGAGGACCAGTGCGGAAAATGAAGCAGAGGAACACAATAGTGCCCCGACCTACAGGGACACTGTTGCCGCTCTCCCCGCTCCCACGGTTCCTCTCACCACTGACGAACGATTGATGCGCCTTCTCGCTGTCCATTGGAATGCCTCTCCCTTTCGGCACATTACCATCTTCAACGTGTCCGTTGTCTTTGATTGGCAGGGCGTCGGTTCGTCCGAGTTCAATCAAGTCCAGACTGCCTACAATGCCTTCCATCAGTTTGCTTCCGGTGTCTGGGGCGAGATCACTTCCACGGTCGTCCTTCTACCTTTTGCTGATGGCCGATTCACCCGACAACAACTGTGGATCCGGAACTTGAAGGAGTTTGACGAAAAAGCCAAGGATTGGGCCCACCTGAAACTCTACCTCGATCCCAACTTCGGCAATCCTTACATCCTCAACAAACCTGGGAAGACTGGGTCCAAGACCTACAAGACTCGCATGCGGTTCGGGATGGACACTGCCCCTCCCATTCTCATGCAAGAACTTCGCTCCATCTTGTCCAGTGAGCCTCGGGCGGGCGTCTTCCCGACTCCAATCCAGGTTTCCGACATGGTCCGGCTTGGCTTCCTCCCGTTGCTACCACAAGAATTGGCGATTGGTCCGTACTGCAAAGACTTGATGCGTCTCTGCGACTTCCAGTACCCCATTGGCCTTATGCAAGAATGGGTCAACAATCCACAGTTCTTCTCTGCCAAATTCACTGGGTCTTCTCGAGGACTCCTGTGCTGGCATGTCTTTGTTCCTAAAGCCTTCGCTCGCGAGGCCGACCCGATCTTGGCTGCGAACTTGGACCTACGTAAGCCCAGTTGTGCTCCCTTCCAAGCACCGACCCATTACACCAGAGATTGGCAGGCGGCGAAAGACGAATTGGACCTCGGCAAACAGTGCCCACAGCTTCAGTCCTTGATCGAAGCCATGCGGGAAAGGACCCGGGCGACGCTGGTTCTGACTGCAATCTACCGGATTCCCATCGAACTCCCGGGCATGCTGACTTCTGCTGCAACTGAGAACTTTGGAAGGCTCACCCTCCTACGATTCCTTCTTGCCGTCATCGTCACGGGCGCCCAGGCCAAGAAGGCGGAGGATGCAGAACCCAAGAAGCCACCGACCAAGGCCCTAGATGTGCTGAGTGATAGCGAGTCGTCCGGTGACAACGATGATGATGACAGTCCCCTGACCTTCGAGTGGACCACCATCATCAAAAAGTCTTTGGTTGCTTCCACTCCAAAACCTGTGGAGGACAAGAAAAAGTCCCTCCTCATGGCACCCAAGTCTCCCGAGGACGACGATGCCTGGATCGACCAGCTTGCTCAGATGGACCTCACCAACGACAGACCAAGCCCTCTGTTTGTCATGATCTTACCAGCCGAGGAAGATGGATGCTACTTCGTGGTGGTTCGCCAGCGCTATCTCCCCCTTGCGATGAACGTGCTCGACAACCTGCCGTCCTTTCTCCAGTTTCACCTTGGCGAGTCGTCGTTCCCCAATTTCATTCGAGTTATCAAGAACTGGTCCGCTACCGACCTCGCCTACCAGAATCGCAAGCTTCATGTTGAATGGGTCCCGTCGGAGCTACGCTCCCGCTGTATTGACAATCCCACCGACAATCAAGGTCCTCGAGTCCGTGATCCCATGGACTTCCTTCTCTGCATGGAAGACCCCGTGGAGATTCTCGAGGGCACTCTCCACATCGACATCCACGCCAAACATGTTCGTGACGTAGATGATGGCCTTTCCGTGATCGGTCACCTCAACAATTGGAACGAGAGTCAGGCCCAGCTCCAGACCGCTCTTCAGACCATCGAGACCATTACTGACGAGAAGAACAGTTTGAACCGGGACCTACAGTCCGTTCGTGACGAATTGGAGGCAATGAAGGCCGCCCAAGAGACTGCGGCTGCTATGACAGAGTTGTCTAAAACTGTTAGGCCTGTTCCGATGCTCACAGTGGACGTCCCTACAGGTCCACCAGGCCAGACACGTGTCAGCACTACTACGCTACTCAGTCCCTCGGTTCATGGCATTGCTCCACCGGCGACGGCTCATGAAACGGACGGAGAAAATGGGGAGGACCAACCCAATGCGTCCTCTCCTATGGACACCGGTCGTGGGGGTATCAGGACCCCCACGACGGGTCCATGATAAACAAAAGATCGCCTGCTGCTCGGTTGTGGCGGAACAGGCATAGATCGTTTATCACCAGCAACCGGTCAAGAGCGGCTCCACACACCTCTCTTGATTCCCTTTGAAGTTCCTTCCTTCCAGGAGATGGTTTTGGTGACAACCATCTCGTTCGTGCACAGGGTTCCGCCCGACTCGCCTTCCAGAATATTAACACTATTCCTGACGAGTCAGACGACCCTAAACAAGCACAACTCAACCACTGGGTTCGAAGCGAATGTGTGGAGTTTTTACTTCTGGCTGAATTGAACAAATTCTGGCCAGCAATTACACCAACCAACCGGTGGCGTGGGCGAGCCAGCACTATGGCTAGGAAGGGCAAAGGTTTCCATTCGGCGGTGGCCTACAATACCCATCAACCACGGGCGGCCCATTCTACCACTCAATTTGGGGGCTGCTCGACTTCTGCCTTCAACAAAGTATCTCACCGAGTAAGGTCCAGTGGCGACAATAGCTTGGGGCGATGGGCTTGGATACGTCTTCAGGGCCGAACACGAGACACGAGGCGTTGGCCAGCGCGACTTGGTGGTGATCTCTGCCTACCGTCCAAACCCACCAAACGACGGGCATCAAACAGTGTGGTTCCAACATAAGGCCCACTTCAGCCGCACCAACCGCGATGCAGAACCCAGGGAGGCTTTCATCAAGGACCTCTCGACGGCTATCAACAAATGGCGCGACGACGGCTGTTCTATCATCTTGGGCATCGATGCCAACGACGACTTATCCTCCTACTCCCCGAAGTCTTTCCGTTTTCGGATGAGCGAAGTAGGACTGGTCGAGGCGATCCAGTCTAAGCACCCAGGGTCCCACCAGGCCACTTACCAGCGGAATCTCCGTGGGTATCCGATTGACGGCATCTTCGCGACGCCTGACGTGCCCATCCTGGCCGCCGGGTACTACCCTTTTGGCGAACACGTCGCCTCCGATCACCGTGGCCTGTGGATCGACTTTGACTTGAACAGTCTTCTCGGCGCACACCAACCTACGAAATCCACCCATGTTCCACACCGGCTGGTGATGCACAACAAACGGGTGGTTCAACGATATGTCCAATTGGCGGAGCAGGGTTATATGCAGTACAATATTCCGGGTTGTCTCTCTACCCTAGGATTCGATGTTGCCCGACAGCAGGGCGTCATCACCAAATCCCAGGCGGTCAGATTCGATCGGATACACGCTGATGCCTACATAGTTCGACGGTTGGCGGAGCAGAACTGCAGGAAGTTGTCGATGGGCGGGGCAGAATGGTCTCCTAAAGGCCAATCCATTCGGGATCGGATCACCTTGTGGCGCCTTCTCCTCAAGGGCCGACGTCAGTGCCGGGTGAGCTCCAGGAAGGTTCGCCGCCTGCTGCTCAAGACGAACGAGCCCTTGGCCTGGAAGTTGACCACAGCCGAACTTGAGTCCCATCTCACCCAAGACCTTGGTCAATATAGAGACGCCAAGAGGGGCCTCACTTCTAAATGGCGGAAGGCTCATGTCACTACTCGTACCCAGA